TAGAGGTTGGTTTTTTTCGCGGAGAGAAGACTTTATGTTATAATTGCCTACACAGTCTAAAGTAGCACCTCTTCGTGTTGATGCTGGTTTCTAGAAAGGCGAAATTATATGTAGCGGCAGCATTATCTAAGGATGCTTTGAAAACGACGAAGAAGTCGTATGTAACCATTATCTTTTCCAGTATCTTGTGCAAGATTCGGCACATGGTGAACACACGATCAATGGTAGACTCTTCAGGTCTGAAGCCACACCGCTCAAATCCCATCAGTGCGTTGATGGTGTGCTTTAATCTTCCATACACTTACACTCTATTAAACTTTATATCTGATATTGAAAGACTTCTATTTTAATTTGCGCAGTTTGTGGAGTAACCTTTTTTATGGATGAGGCAAAGCATACTTCGGACGTGGTTTCTTTAAACCATATTCTGCATGCACCTACTTGAGTAGCTCAACCGGTAAGCAATCAGCTACCGCCGTTTGCTGTTCATCCGACGGGCAATTTCTGTTCAAACTACTTCATAATCGGGTAATGAAACAACCAATCCATAGTCATCGATTGGGACATCGGGTTCGTAATCTCCTGGTTTTTCTTTTTCACTACCATTCAGCAGACTGGAGAAGTGTAGCAGCCATAAATTTCCTACAAACTGGGCTTCAGTGGCTAGATCACCTATTTGGGTCCTAAATTGCGCATTGAAACCTTCTGTAAGCCACCGAATTTTGTTTAGAGAATTTTCGAGCACTCCCCCTGACGGCCAATTTCTCACTCCTCATTGTCACGATCAATTAAAAAAAAAAAGTGTCACATATAAAATCCACAAATTTGCATATAAATATTAGTTCCGAGTAAATGTTTAGCTAACACATACATATATATGTACATATGTATACTCTAAGTATCAAATCGGTGATAAGCGCAAGTGTTTAGGTTGTCACCTTCGCTTCCATAAATAAACCATATTATATTTTTATAATAAAATAAATATGTTACTAATATATTATGAGAACAAACCAGAAGCGTGTAATATTTATGTGTAGAAAAAATCTGCTTATCAGTGTGTACATTGCTGATAAATAAAGTATTGTCGCATGCATACACTTGCCATTATTTTCCATTACTCTTAAGGCGGCGTCAGACGTGGCGATTTTCACGCGATTTTCACGCGATTTTCACGCGATTTTTATTTCCTTCACATATTTTGCTGTCAAATGGTGACCACTCTGAAATTAGTTTCTGCAATTTCAGTGTGTGATTGCACTCATTTATTTGCAATTTGATTTCAGAAAATCAATTTGAAACTTGTCGGGCTGCACTAGCAATTTATATTTCTCTTGCAATTGCTGTCAAAGGGTTTGGGTATTGTCAAAGTTGATTTTTGATAAATTATTATGAAATAAGCTAATTTAATTTCATGAATTTTGAAATTAAATTAATCAATTGCTACATCTGAAGGCACCTTAAAAGGAATTGGGGAAATTCTTGAGACCGAAATCCACAAAACACGATTTCGATGCCAGTCTAAACATGGTATAAATCACTTCTTGGTACCGTCAATGTTTTGGTTGACATATCCGACATTGGTAATGCAATATATGTATGGTATGTATTAAGAATTAGTATTGACAAAAATAATAATACAAATATAATTATTTTTCATGTAGATTAAATGGTATTGGGTTATCCATTTAGTGGTTTCAAGAGTAAAGGGCTGTATTTTGACAAACTTAACTGTCAAACCAAACATGTTTTGCTTTTTTTTCAGAAGTCAGGCATTTATGAAAATGGAATGCTTAACAGCCGTACAACGTTTTTGAAACCACTTGGGCATGTTTCTTGCTCTAAGAGGAGATTATGATGCACATAAGCGTTCAACTACTCAAGAAATTGGTAAAGAGAATAGACTGAATCGTGGTCGAAAATGAACTCAAACGGATCGAAGTTGGTAAAACTTCGCGAAGCGGTCATCTGAATGTGTGTCCCAAAAATAACCGAACGTTTTGGATATAAAATAAAATATGACTCAACACAACGTTTGGAACGATCAACCAGCGCATGCATGCAGAGATTTTTTTATGTCATTTATAGAAATGTTCTTCAGTACCTCGGTTACGGCTGCTTGAATGGCTGGGATATCATCATAAAATGCTCCCTTCAACTTGGTTTTCAGTTTTGGAAATAAAAAATAGTCACATGGTGATAGATCAGGCGAATACGAAGGATGGTTGATGAGAGAAATCCCTTTCGTCATTTAATTCATGTGGAACAAATCGCGCACAGACCTTTCTTTTCACCAAATCTTCTGTTAAAATTCCCAAATAGTGTTTTTACTCGTATTCAATTCCTCAGCCAACATTCTCGTAGTAAAATTTGCATCGATACCAATGATTTCACGGACTTTTTCCACCAGTTCAGCACGATTACTAGTTTCTGGACGTCCTGCTCTAGGGTCGTCATTTAAAACCCCCGACCATTTTTAAATCGTGTAAGCCACGTATAAACTTGCGTACGACTCATACAATCATCACAATAAACTTTATTTAGAATAAATTATTTTTTTTACTTTTCACTTTGGAAATCGCAAATTGAATAACCCTATATATTAGCTTTGTTTCGAAGTATGTAAGTACTAGAAGGAGAAGCTATAGACCCGTCAAAATTTAAACCGATATGATCGTGATCACTAGCTGAGTTGATTTAGCCAAGTCTGGCTGTCCGTCTGTTTGTACGCGAAAAAAAGAACATAAAATTTGGTATTCTAGTCTATAATCGGAAGACATTACCCTTAGGTTAGGGGTTAAAAATTTATCCGCAGCAAGGCATAAGTATTGGGAAAGGCGACTAAAATCCAGTAGTGCGCGCAACAGTCGAGTCTTGATACCGACCGATACTTATCGCAATATTCCCCGAAAACCAATTTTCGGAATATTATTGCGTTTTTACAGCAACAACTATATTATACCGATTTCAGTAATGAGATTTTGAATCAAAAAGCCGCAAAAAAGCATATAAAAGCCTAAGATTTGGTATTCTTCTTATATTCATGAGAGGCACAAAGACTTTGGCTGAAGATAGCAGTTCTTTCTTGTTATTTTTGTTACTAATATTACACTATTTAATTTTTATTTAATTCAAGTGCTGCCTCAATACTTGCTATCAAATCTATTTTTATCGCTAGACGTACAAACAAAATTGTATTATTTTCGTCACAATCTTGTATTTATAGGGTTTTTCAATAAGAGTGATATGATTACCTCTTGACAGTAACGGTACTACCAGTTTCATTTCGAAAGAAGTACGGACCGATGACTCCAATAGACCAAAAACCACACCAAACTGTCAATGTAGGTTAATGTAATGGTTTTTCTTGGATATGTTGTTGCTGTTGTTTGTAAACGTTGCATTTGCGTATATCTCGCTATGATGAAATTGTAAACATAACTGAATAGAATGACCCTTTACAAATATACATGGTGTGCAAGGCAAATTCACACACGATAGTAGCAAGAATACAAAAACAAAAAGCTTATGTATTTTGTTTTTGTAAGCATAGTTTCGAAAAGTCAAAAACCGAAACCTATTTTCCACGTATTTTGTTTGTGTTATTTTTTAAAATGGAAGGAAGAACAAGCAATCATATGATGTGACAACTTCACCTTCTGTAAATTCGCCTTGATGGTGTATATATATTTACATGTGTTGAATGTTTACAATAGTTCTGTTCGTTGACCAGTTGGGCAGTAACAATTTTTACCAAACTTTGCTGGATCGTGTTCGTTGAGCCAAAAACTTAGTAAAAATTGGTAACGAGGGAGCGCAATTTTGACGTTTAGTTGGAGAGAAAGTTGCAAATAGTCGTTGGGAAAATTTGAACCAGTAAAAACTGGTATGAAAAACAGCTGATATGATTGAATTTTTGCCAGCAAAACAAACTTAAATTTCTTGCTTTCGGAGAGTAAAACATCTTGCTCTATCAATTTCGTTACCTGCTGGTTTTTACTGACATTTCTCAACGAACACATCTAATTATTTAAAAAAATTTATAATTTATGATTATGCTTAGCAACAACATTATTTTAGTTCCTATAAAATAAAAGATGTGTCCAAAAATATCTACTCTATTTACTGAAGAGAAGATATGATATAAGCGTTTATAGTTTGCGAGCTTGATAATCCAGTATTCTTTATAATCTTATCGTAGTAAACCAACAATTATAATCTATTTATGAAAAAAAAATTTTTTTAGGAATAACAAAACGGTTTTTGTTATTGTAGCGATTCTTTACGCTTCCCAGCAGCAAACGGTAAGGCTTTTGGTTAAGTCAAAACTGTGTCTTAGTCAATGCAAGACCTACTATTTTCCTTGCAAAACACCATTTTGCATAAGAAGAGTATTCAACGTTACTACTACGGGTGTTGCAGTTTCATTTTGCTTCTTTTCAGTAGTGTGGTGAGTTTCTTTCCGAAACAAATTATTCGCTTTTACTAAGGAATCAAAATGCCCTGAATAAATGCAGAATCAAAAATTGAACACTACGAAGAGTTTCTTGTTTTCTCTTTTCTTCAGAGAGCTTTTGTTTGCTTTTGCTTTTAGATAATCGATCTACAATAGCTCTTTACTGTCGAAAGGTGAGACCTTATCAATTTTGCTAGAGGGTTATAGTCGAACAAAGCAAACTTTGACAGTAATGCTGCAACTACCCAACTCTCGTACCAGCCGAGCCGGTTTTACGGATAAAATCAAATCGCCGTTGGTTTCTGCGGCACAACCGTCACTAACGGCATGGACAAGCGGTGACAACTTAGCGTTTACATGGCGCTCTCATAAGACAGATTGCTATGGACGACTGGTACGCGCGTTGGGTAGTTGCACCATAAGAGAGGATCTAGGAAATAGGACGTTGTAACCGATTCGCACAAGTGCATTAGCACCAGCTTATTCCTTTACTCCACTTAAAGGGCAAAGATATTCGAAACAATTTTAATGGGCTGATACTTACTGGTTCTACTATTCGGTTGTAGGTCAGAGCCATTGCACAAAATATTTCAATTATTTACTTTTGTGGCATAAAAAAAACTCGCAAACAAATTTAACTTTTTTTTTAGCAGTCGATTTGAGTTTCACAGTTTTCCGCTTGTGTGCACAGTGCACCTATGACTGCATTTTCATAGCAAACCTCTAAGCAGACAATACGCGAAAAGTTTTAACATTCAAGTGAAAATACTTTGTTCTTTATAATTATCATACATCTATAAATAATATACACTTTTGCGAATACGTGTAAATATATATATATATATATGTATGAAAACTCATGGTTTAAAGGCACAAGTATATTATTATTATTGTATATATTTTTTGCTTTCTGTAGTGTGGATGGATACTCCTTTAATTATCTTCATTATTTTCTATTGTTTGGCATTTTAATATGTTGGCTAGTACACCGACACCAGTTGCTTCACATTCTACACTTTTATTTCTGTTCTACTATTCACCCGCGGCGTCATTCATAAAATACGGGGTAGAGCGATAACGATAAGCAGCCCCAAATACACTGATGATTTGAAAAAGCTGACAACGAAATAAAAGCGATTGGAGCAAAATAGAAGCATGTCCATAAATAAAATGAATAAAAAACAATAGAATAGTAAGCCAAAAACAGTGCTGCCAGCCCTTACTACATGTGAACTTTTTTACCAAGCATGATGTTTCTAATGCTGCAGTTACACGATACAAAATCCACTTTTTTTTTGATCACACTAGGGTTGTTAGCCCACACTCTTGTAGGTTTCAATTCAACACATATATTCATGTTTTTATGGTGCGCCACGTGCACGTAAGAGCAGAAATTCCACATAGCCCTTCGACTTTAACTGCATGTTTAGGGGATTGACCAGACCCCTTTACACCCATTTGATTACACTGCATTACAAACCATACTTTTTGTTTTTCCAAATTTGTTTATACCGCTCTGAAACATATTTGAAAATATCTCTTTTCTTTCATCTTCCACAACTATCTAAAATCCAACACAAATTAGTATAAATTCCATATCATTTGTTGGCGCCCATAAACCAAGAGGGTCTTCAATGCTAAGAAGTTTAGTTCAAATGAAGGAAATATCTAATGTAAGTTATATGGGTATTATTTATTAAGTCATATGGGTATCAGGGCAACAAAGCAGGTGAAAATTTTCTTACGAAAAATTTAAAAAAAATCATCTTAAAAAAATCATAATTAAAACAAATTGTTGGATCTGGCTAGTTATGTCAATTTTGTTAAACGCTTTTTCATTTTTAGGTCTGGCACCATTACAACGATATGACATTTAAAATTTATTCTGCCGAAATAAATAGTCTGGATAGTTTGGTTTTTCTGAATCACGAAGTTTTTGTTAAAATACACGTAATATCGTAATATTTCGAATATAAATTTAAATTAAAGCTATTTAAAATAAAACAATGCCTGTCGATTGCCGTGAATTAGTTGAAGCAATTTCAATTATTGCTAATGAACGTAATGTTCAAGTAACCATGAAACAAGCGACCAAAGGATCATTGGGTATGTTGGACTTTATACATGCATGCATATATGTATGTATAAAGTCAGTTACATTGAAATGGGGGAATCACAAAACTAAAATTATGCTCACATTTGTACTGATAAAAAGAGTTAATATTGTGGGATAGTATATGGCAGCGTCTGTTTATAGTTGGGATAATCAAACTAATTTGGCGATTTTGGAAAATAATTTTACAGTAATCAGTAAAAACTTGATATTGATTACAACTTTTAGTTTTACCGACATCAATGATACCATACATTCAGCTCTTTATGTAAGATCTGTTGCGTATAACTACATACACATCTCTTTTATCACTATAAATATATTAAGAGTATAATTTTAATTTATTTGTATGTGTATTTAATAAATAAATATGTATTTATTTCAACGATATAAAATCTAATTTGGCACATATATTTAGTATGCGCAGCAAGTGCTTTTGCTGGTGGAATTCTACTTGGTCCTGTAGGATTGGCAGTTGGTAGTGCTGCAGGTGGATTAATGGCTTATAAAATGACTAGTGGTAAGTAGCGGAGTAATATTCCGTTAGACCTTAAAGCTAAAAAATATTATTATTAAATTATTCTATTACCGTTCGATTCAACATAATTAAAAAATATGTAACAATTAGCTTTGCTCAAATAAATTTATTGCAATCGGTATGCTGATAAGCTTTATATCATATTATATATGTACATTATTGTAAACATACCTTGCAAATTGGACTTTAATTTTGTATGCATTCTCTTACTATTCTTCAGGCAAATTCAGACCATTAGCAGACGTGTTAATCAACGACTTAACTGATAGACAAAAAGAGCAATTGGTGCGTCGTGTTAATAATGCAGTAGCTGAGTTCGCAATATCCGATTTGGCAATACTCTTACCAATGTTAATGAATAATGCAAGTATCCAGGAAGCAGTTTTGAAAACAGCTATCAGTTTCGTATCAAATGAACTTAGAGTGCAGGTTATACAGTGACCGCCGTGTTTTTTATGGATTGTGAAAGATCATTTATTATTATTATGTACGATATTTTGTAAGGCTTCAATGTATTTAGTTTTGCTTATATTTTATAGTTTCATATTATTTCTTGCGTTTCTTTTTATCAACGTATATTCAAGCTAGAATCTAATTGTCAACAGTTCAAAAAATTGTAATCATATAGATAAGTATGTATAGTAAGCAAGGAAGTATGGAAATTTAGCTGATTTATGGCTAAATATATTAAAATTATTTTTTCCTTAATGAAAAGTTTACCATTTGCTAGATAGCTCAAAAAAGAAGCTGTTGTTTTAAATGAGTGTACACATTAACTCATAAAACAACAAAAAATTAATGTAATTTTTTAAAAATCAACAATATAATCCCAATAAAATACAAACCCTTTTTTAATATATATGTTTGTTTATTGATTTTTATACGTACGGTTCATAAATATCATCATTCCTTCTATCTTAAATCCATACTATTTTTGAATAAGTATATTTGTATAACTAAGTGTAAAAATATCATGGCTATGTTTGATTGCACGCTTAACTCTACTCAAATATTGTTGCCTAATGTTAATATCCATACTACAAAACTTCCATTTACTCCCAATCAACGTTCACTTGATCCCAATCGCTGACGAACGGTTGATCGATTGTGTCAATCATTACGCCACAATAGTAACAGTCAGCCGCAACAAGTTCTTCAATTTCAGTTTTTAATTTCGCACGTTGAATGATCATCTCGTCAGTAATATTATCTAATACGTTTTTTGTTACCAGCGTGTCCAGTTGTTGCCTGAGATTTGTCAGGCGGCGGCTTTGATCGCTGCTTAACATTGGTAAAATTTGTTTTTCCAAACAATCACTATGAAATTTATGACCACAGACGAAAATGAAAAATGGTTTCACCATTAGAAATGTCTCGCATAGATTACAATTTTCCTGTGCGCTAATGCGTATGCTTCTCTCACGCACATTTTGTAAATCTTTCATAACACGTTCCGCTTGTTTATCACATTCATCCATTTCGTGTTTTAATTCTTGAATTTTTTGATTGTAATCCTGAATAAAAAGGTGTAAGACTTATTTGATTTGAAAAAGAAAAAAAAGATCAAACCTTTAAAGCTTCACAAATGGGTTCCTTAAAATCGTCAATCTTTTCAAAATCGGAGAAAAATGGCAATAAATCCTCTATACGCAACAGTTCGCATTCTTTAAGAAGATCTAGCGCTTTTTTGACATCATTAGTGCCCTGTATCTCATGTTGTGCTATTTTGAAAAAAAAAAAAAAAAATATATATATATATATATAATGAAGCCGTATAATTTCTTACCAATGGTCAACCACATCTTTTCGCGATCTTCCTCTAAGGCCGGTTTTGAAGCGATTTCCTTTGCTAATTTCAAATCAAATGTGAGTGCTAATTCAACAGCCGCAGCCCACATTTTACTTAAACACATGAGAAAGACTGTCGCTGCATTTACCTTGAACTGTTGACATTGTATCAACGCATAGTTCAGATCGTAATGTATCAAGCTAAGATCCTGACCCTCATTTTCTAGGTACGTTAATAACTTATTGGGTTTATATTTGGCATATAAAAATAATATATAATTATGTACAGCTTCATGAGTTTCGCCCAGCTTGTATATAGCATATTCTAAATAACGAATGATTTGCTCTATATGCTTATCACTTTCCTGCAGTACTAACGTTGGTATAAGTTGTTTAACATCTAGCTTTCGTCCTTGAGACATTAAAGTTGCTATGGTTTCTTCTGGCAAATAGTCCATTAATATCGGACAATATTTGTAGTATAATTCAAGATTATCTTGCTGAGTAAGCGTATGCAGCGCGTCCTTGAATTTGTCCGAGCTAATCTGTTGTTCTATTACCTCTTCATAATCACCATTGGCTATAGCAAATTGTGCGATATTATGTGAATCCGCATGCTCCTTTAGCAGATTTCGTATAGGTTCCTTATTTTGACGTGCACAATCAGCCACACGGGCACCTTGCATAAATTCATCGAATTCACTTTGCCATTCGGCACGTTCCTGCGCAGTACGTCGGGGATAATTGATTTGTGATAAATAGAGATCTACAAGCCAAATTACTAAAACCATTATCTTGTTTGGATCATTGTCCAGCATGGCTAAACGCTTTTTAACATAACGTATTATGGGTCGCTTATTTTCCAGTTGAATAAATTTTAAACTCACTTCTTCAAAGGGCTTTGTCGTTTCCGCATAGAAATCGGCTGCTATATTGTAATCACCTTTTTCAAAAGCAGCATCTGCTTTTTTCACTAACACCATATCTAGGTGTTCTGGTTGTTCGGCAGCGTAAATCTCCGCCAGATCATATTGGCCCTTATCTAAGTAAATGCGCCATACATCACGTTGTTCGTCGGTGATCCTAAAGTTAAAAAACATTTTATCTGTGTAAACATATATGGTGCCAGTGAAAGGATCGCGTAGCATATTTAATAATTTTCCCATTTGTTCATGGAAATACTCCTCGTAAACTACTTTTTCATTTAGTAAGCATATACCGGTGATGTGGTCGGAATAAAGTAAGAGTGCATGATATTCGGTTAATGCCATGGCACGTGGTGCATTTTGACGACGTTCTTCGTAGGATAGATGTTTATATTGCTTGAAGTCTAATTTGATGAGATTATCACCAAGTAGGACTTTAGGTGCACGTTCTTCGGTGGAAATCTAGAAAGAAATATTATTAAAATTTTATTCTAAAATGGCTTTGTTACTTGTATTTGAGTTTCAGTAAACTAAAGCCGTTATCGTTAAAGAAACATTTTTTTTAGCAATTATATTATACCTCTCCAAATCGTATACCACTGCCACACAACCATGCCCATTGTTTGGGCAGCTTTTCGTTTGGCTCTCCATATAGCTGCAACAGTGAATAGTTTAACTCAGTTTCAATTACTTCTTCGCCGTGCATTTGTTGCCCATTCACATAATTAGCAAATATAAATTGAAGAGATCTATCATCAGGCTTTAAATTTTCTTGGAATGTATATATACGATCTGGCGTCGTAGCAATTACCATATATTTATTGGTATTTGGCAAACGTAGTAATTCCAATCCGGTTATGGGATACTTTGTACGTCCCAAGCCTAAATCATAAACCTTGAAAAATAATCACATTACAGTTATAAGATTTAATGATATATATTTATATTTTGAACCTGTTTTCTTTGTAAAGGCGATGAACCGTCTTGAGATAGCTCCGTTTCGAAGATCAGACCGCGACTTGTACCGAGCAATATTGCGCCTGTAGATGTTTCTGTACCCATATATCGATTAAAAGCGACAGCTGTAATTTCGTGATCTTTGAATTTCTCTACACGACGCACTTTTGGACCATTTCCGTGTATGTACAGAAAATCTGCTGATAATCCACTGGTTTGTGGTACAATCGGTATAAGTGTATGGTGTCCAGTGTAATCAAGAAAAACTTTGGAAATTGCATACCCAGCCAAATATTTCTCCAGTGGTATTTCTATTATGAAAAAAAAAATAAATAAATAAATATAAAAAGGAGCAAATGTTAACGATTTCTACATACCTCCTGGAGGAAGAGCTCTAGGTAAAAAGAAACGAAGAAGCATAGTTTGTGGGGTGGCAAGCACACAAACTAACCAATTTTTATTTACAGTTACATGTACTAGGTTTCCTTTGTAGCTCGGTGGTATGCGTAGTGTTATTTGCCTTTTACTAAATATGGGCGTCTCCAGTTGGTCAAAATCCGTTGCGCCGGGTGCAGGACAATCCGCGGTTTTACCCTCTACAACTGGAAGAAACTTCGCAGCTGGCTTATAATTCATCCAGCTTTCATCATCATCGAACGACGACATTTTACTCTTTTTAATTACAACAATGCAAAGAAATTAAAAATTTTCCTCCGTACAACAAATTGAACAATAATTAAAAATGTATGAATGAACAGCTGTGTGCTAATTATAATGTTGTTGCCACCCTAAGAAATTCTCTCAATTAAATAGCCAAAAAAAAACTTCGATACATTTTATCGATATCGACTTAAGATTTTAAATATTTTTTCAAAACGTATTTTTTTTTAACAGTTCAAATTAATATGGCGAAAATATCAAATTTGAATGTGAGGTGGGGGCCGTTAACTAAAGTACATTCTAGAGCGCGTGAATCGAATGTTCGTTATCGAGAACATTCAAACAAGATCTTCTAGAGGATATATGCGGGCAGTCTGTGGCCATATAAAGCGAAGTGCGCGCTGCTGGAAAGTTCAGTGGACTGAAATGGAGTAAACTGTGCTTATTTATAGAAAATAGTAGAGTGTTAGATTTATAAAATTAGTCAACGCCTTGATTTCTTTGTTTTTTGCTAAATCGATTATTCATATTAATCGATTATCTTCAATTTTAATAGCAAAAATCGCTTTTAACCATTCGAATATCCTTTTATAATGCTTGTCAATAGGTGCATCTTTGGACTGAGTAGGCAATTGGAAAGTAACGTTCTCTCTCGACGAACCAAAATCAAACTCTACAAGTCCTTCATCATTGCCGACCCTCTATATGGTCCCGATATCAGCTGAGTTGGCCTTGGAAGCCTTCCTAGAGAAGAATTTTGTGAACGATTTATGGTCCTTTGTACATTGACAACGGCGAATACCGCAGACGTTGGAAAGAGTATGAGTTATACGATGATGATTAATATAGTTCACCGAATAATACATTGGCTAGCTTATGGCGTACGAATGGACCAAAGCGCTCCAGCTTTGAATGTATTCGATTTAGTACCCTCTGGAAGCAATTTGAAGATTATCAATATGATTAAAGGATTGCTGATTCGGCTGTAACCGCATAAGCGATGCATGCCTACGCCAATGAAGAAGCAGAATAAGGAAAGTTGATTCTCCCCCACTGTGCGTTCGTGACTAATAGAATGTACTCACCGTTTGTTAAATGAAAACGTTTGGTGAAATGCAACAATTTACTCGTGATTGCAAATTGCAAGTAAATAAATTTTTTTTTTCATAAAATATTAATTTACTATTTAAATAGAATAAATATATCTTTACACATACAAACAAATCTCGACAAACTGTCATCAAAATCTACTTATGCCGAGGGTGTTACGTCTACTCAGCGTTTGTTAATTGCAAAAGTACATAAAAGTATAATCACCAAAAAAAAACTTAATAAACTTTGGTAATCACAAGTTTTCTTTTGTACTTTAATTGGCAAAGGAGTTTAAATGCCAAGTGGATTAAATTATTTATTAATTGAATCACACTTTTTATTTGCCATTCTTGCGCTGGAAAAGCTGACGTAACAGTATTAAATCCAAGCTGAATTTTTCTAAACAAACATACGTATATACATAGCACTTTACATCACAATAACAACTTGTTGATATGTATTTGCATACGAAAGTGTGATATTCAACTATCTGAAATGATTCACAAGCTGCATTTATTTAATTAGTAAAGGGTTTTCCAATAAGAGATGTTACTACTTTTCCGGTAGATGTCTCCTTTGAAGCTGTATTTTTTTGACATTTGACATATTATTTGACAAAATTTCATCGAAAAATCATCTTGACTAATGAGACCCATTTCCAACTCAATAGGCTACGTCAATATAAAAAAAAAACGTCGCATCTGGAGCTCGGAAAACCCAAAATGGTCGAAAATGCATGGATTGCGCTATCGAGAGATTATTTATGATTTTTATGGCCAGAATCGGATGATATTGATGTGAACAACGTTTACTTTCGACTAGACGGCGCTACGCACCGCACATGCAATGATACCATAGATCTTTTAAGTGAAAAGTTTCTTTAAATATCAAAATAACACCCCCTAATTGGAAAACCCGTTAAATTGAAAATCAACACTTCTATCGAAAATTATGAGTGGAGTGAGGCTATTTTGTAAATAAACACTTCTATAACACTTTGATTGGTGGTTAAGAAATTAAAGTAAATAAATCAAATAAATATTAATAACAGTGAATGATAATTAAAAAAAAATATTTTTTTGCTTCTTGTATTCAATAACTTATTTAAAAAAAATTCCAAGGCATCTTGCAAATCAATTTTTAATTCAGTATTTAGTTGGAGTAAAGAATTCGGAAGGCATGGGTTCGTGTCCTGATTCAACCAACAACCAAAATTTTAGAAAATCAATTTTTATAATCGCAGTATGAGCACCTGAAGCATACTTATGAGCGCTGCTCGCGCCACGTTGACAAAATTATGCTTCTCAAGAAAGAAAAACTCACAGCTCTGTGTAACAAAGAACGATCGTCAACAAAAACATGTTGAGTCGAAAACTACATTCACAACGGACATCCGGAAGGTTTTCTAATCGACTTACTTTAAGAGAGCATTGATCAGCAAATTACTAATGGCCACATTTCAAACTCCCTACATACCGCCGCTACGGAGTGCCAGAGAGCTGGTACGATGAGGACTATCGAATTGTAGTCGAGAGGGAACATACTACCTATCTCCCAACGTGGACTGCGATAGATATCGAGAACTTGAGAGGGAAGCAAAACGCATATGCAGATAAAAGAGAAAAGAGGTCGAAATTCGGAGTGTAAAGAGCTTGGGAAGCTGGTCGGCAAGGGTTATGCTCGAAAATTCTATGAAAGGATATGACGATTTACCAACAACAAATAGAAGGAACTAATGGTGCGTTATTCTTGATTTAGCTATAACTGCGTAAGTGCTGTCTACGCCAGTGAAGAAGGACAATTCTCAGAATACCTCTTTTATGTCGGCAATCTTGTAATATAATTCTCATGATTTTATAAAAAACGAAAATTTCCAGTTTGACATTTACTAATTATTTATCATTTATAAATGTGAAATTTATTAATACAAGCAAATCATAAAGTAGTAGGTTTTTTGCGGTACTCATAAATCACAAAAATAAATTAATAATAAAAAGTAATCATAAAAAACAGTGAATAATTAAACTAATAAATAAAAATATATAAAAATAAAATCTGTAAACAACTTTATTCCACTCTATAAAACCTGAATAGCTATTTTTATATGAGTAAAGGTAAAATAATAAATAAAAAAAATTTATTATTACTGTGATTATTGTATTAAATGTGTTCAGCACAGCAAATAAATAAAGTGAAGCGATTTTATCTTGACAAAAAAATGTGGAAAAATCGCTTTCTACCTCAACAATTGTGGGCGAAACTGTGAAAGGGTCACAGAAATCTGAATAATATGTGAAAATTAATGTTTAAATCGCAAAAAGACCTAAAGAGTTTTTAGTTTACAGTTACAGTATTACAGTAGTAGTTTTTGTAAATACAAAATTAATTGTAGTTGGATTTATTGATGTTCAATCTGTGTCTCACAAACCATAAATATAATTCCATTGAACTCTCTTGAGCACTCTCTCATTGAATATGAACATAATTCCCATATAACAGACTTCTAACTTCCAACCCGCTTATGTTATATTTAAAATTTTTATTATAAAGAGCAAATTTCAATTCTAGAACTGACTCCCAACGTGTAATAATAGTTTAATCACCGAAATAAACGACATTTGTGAGCTTAAAATATTAAAGTAGTAAAGTAATTGCCAACAGAACTCGATTATAGTGGCCGCATATAATGTCTTTTAGAGATTTCTTTGCATTTTTTTATTAACGTAATCGCAGTCAATAGTCACACAATTATTCTGGTGAAACTCTAACATTTCCACTTTTGTTGAATAATTTATCTTTTACCTCAAAATACGCCTCATTTTCAGCGGTAACTCTTCATTTGAGCAAAATTCCTTTCCTGTGAACATTTTTTTTGAGGTTTGTGAATAATCAATAGTTGCTGGGAGTCCAATCCGGCGAATACAGTGTATGTGGAAGAGATTCCAAGTTTATTACAAGAAGAAAAATAGATAGACCCAGCAAAATTCATACCGATCAGGTCGAGTTGTGGTGATGCAACCATTTCTGTCGGCCTGTATTTTTGTATTTGCATCTAAGACCGTTGATATTCCGCACATATATATAAGATGTACTGCCGAAAATTATTAAAATAGGACGACTATATTTTATAGAAATTTTTTTATTGAAAAATCCAGCAAAAAAGCAGCAACAAACTTGCGATATGGAATTTTACAGAAATATGTGAAAAGAAGCATTACCATCGAAAATTATCATAATCGGAAGATTATATCGTACCACCGCCATACAACCGATTTGTTCAGATATAAGGTTCTCGATCAAAAAATCGGTCGAAAAAGCAACTAGAAACAACGTGAGATTTGGTTTACTCCGCACGTATTATGTAAAAATAAGTATTTCCACAGAAAATCAGCGAAATGCGAAAACTATTTCGTACAACCCCCTTAAAACCGATTGGTTAAGATATAATGTTTTGGTTGAAAAATCGGTCAAAAAAGCTTATAAGGGCATAAAATTCAGTATTATACTTTTGCGTCTACAAAAAAACATATTTATAGCAGCCAAACAACCGATTATTTCAGATATGACATGAAAAAGCGATGAATGCATTAAAACTAGCGCCATCTAGGTGTTAGATCTGGAACTTTTTAATCTATATATATGTTTTTCTAGGGATTTTGAGCAGACTTTTAATATTTAAACATTTTTCGGTACTAATATGTTCTCAATCTTAGGATATATAATACATATTGCTTTATGCTTTTGAAATTAGTATATTTTCTTAAGCAAAATATATGAACTTTGCAATATTTTTCATATTTTTTAAATGTATATTGAATGTTGTTTTTAGTCAAATAATTCATGAGAGTATATAAGCTATTGTTGCGCTATGAATTACAATAAAAAATTTTTTCCCGAAAGTAATTCATTGTTTCCTCTTTAGTGAAGAGCCCATCTGCGGTAACTTAGTGAGAGGCAAGGGTGTTTTTTTACAATATTTTGAAAATTTCATAAATATATTTAAAATGTAAAGTATTTCCACTTTTGCATGAATGTATAAGAAGCAATATTTCTAACAATTTTTACAAAAAGCCATACTTAAGTCAAAGTATTTTCAAGCCAATAAGGACGGGGGCGTATGAGTAACCTTTTGATATGAAAATATAATATCAATAATGAGTCCAACTTTTTTGTTATACTGAAATTGGTATAACCAATAAAATAATAATAAATGAATTTAAACTCTAAATATAATATATTTTGGCACAATGGTGTAAATTTTTGCTCCAAATCATGTTAATAATTTTGCACAACTTGCAAATGTATTCAAGAGGAGCTTCGAAGTAAAAACTCATTTAAATAGCAAGGAAAAAATTGAGTTTTCATAATTATTGTAAAATTACAACTCATATTTAAAATGACTATTAAAAGTGGTTTATATTATTTTCAACGTAAAATAAGCCGTTACTTAGCAATGAACTCAGCGATTAATTTGCTGTTGAATAAAACTGTTTCACATGAAAGATAAGAAGTTCGCACTGAGAAAAAATTGCATTTTGCAATAAGCATCTGTAAACATATATATATTTACTAACATAATTATGACCTAATCGTCATAAATTAAAAGAAAAAAACAGGGAATTTCTTGGCAACGGAAATAGCAAAACTGCAGAAAAGTGTCCACACGCAATTCATAGAGAATTGTCTGAGAGCTTTGCCATGCTATTGTATTGTACTACAAGTACTCACTCTCATATGTATGTACTTAATATGTGTATATGCTTGTATGTGGTGAACTGCTATTAAAATTGTAGCAAAATAACTGAAATTCGTGCACTACTCGTACGAATGCTCGTTTGCGCCGACGCCATCAATATATCACCATCACCATTACTCGTACCTCTATAACAGTCAGTCAATTCTAACCGACACAGCTCAGCTCAATTCAACTCAGTTCGGCTCAATACTGTTCGGTGCCGTACATTTCGTTGCTCAATTCAATTTCAAATTCAACAATGCATTTGTGTTTGTTATAAATACAGACCGCACAACTCTCCAGCTTTCATTCTCTCGCAGTGGTTAAAGTGACATGAAAGTGAAGACATCGGTGTACTGTAACAAGTCATGTATCATGATCCAAACACAGCTAATATTCTTACCAATGGTAAGCTAATTTAAAAAGTTGATTGCTTTTTATTGCAAAGAAAATAAAATTTTTTTTTTTAATTAAATGAGTTTTGTTTAAAAATGAACACTTCGGAAATGGACTTTTGAAAAACAATTCAAAAAAGACTTTAAGAAAAATTAGTGTAAAAAAATTTCATGGGTGCAAAATACGTGCAAAAATGCAATATGTTGGCTAAAGTAAATTAAATATTATATACATATACATATATAAGTTCAATAACTTGTGCATGTGTATACTTAAGTGAGTGATTGTGTTGAAAAATGTGCCAAAAGTGTCTAGTGAGTGTATGAATCGGTATGCTTGTATGAATGTGCATAGAAATATTTAAATAAATCAAATTGTGTTTGCCTGTGCACCATGTGGTTGCACTATTTAAAGCTAACGCCATGTCTCGAGCAGTCAATCAGGCACTCTTCGCCTGATTTCACATGCTTTCTTCTTACAAAGTGCAGAATTTGGGCGCGGCGTGTCTGAGGTTGGCGTGCGTCAAGCAGGTGGTATCTAATATGTCATACCGAAGCTCGGTAAAATCAACGTGTGGGCGTTTAACGCACAAAAATCCAACAGAATGAAAGAAAAATAGAAGCATTTGAATGAAAAGGTGGAGGTGGTGGTGAGCGTATGTTTTAGCCTATTTATAGAAGAAATTACTAAATGCCATATTTAAGTTTTAAATAAATTGAAAAAAAAAAATCGAAATAGAAACTATTATTTTCCAATGACGTCTAAAAAACTCTTAGGAAAAAGTTGAAATTATTTGTACAGCATTTTCCTCTATAAACTGCCTAACTTTTTGAATTTGCAACGTATGTTCCATGACTAGCTTCAGAAATCAATTTATTATTTCTCCCATAATTGGTGTTATTTTGATATTCAAAGAGGAAGATATGAAATTAATAATGAAAAACAATATCAGCCGAATGGCCGCCACGGCTACGCTTACAGCATCATATCCTTAATACGAAACTTTTTATCACCAAATCGCAAAGTGTCAGCTGTTTGGCCTCAATAGCTACTCGAATTCCATATTAGTGGTCGTGAAGTGACTTTAGCCTGTTGACCTTTTCTTTTGTGTGTCCACAAAGGAAGAAGTCGCAAGGTGTTAAATTACAAGATCTCGGTGGTCAATTGCGATCACCTCTTCGAGAGGTAACACATTTTGGACACTTCCCTGAAAGACCGATAGTTTCATTGCTGTGTGGAACATAGCGGCATCTTGTTGTTGTGTCCATCCTAACCATTAAATTCCGGCCATAAAAAATCATTAATCATCTCTCGATTGCGCAATCAAGTCATTTTTCAAAAAACTAAGGTCCAATAACCACGCTGGACCATCACCCGTCTCAAACAGTTGCACGTTGAGTATGGATAGGCTTCGAACAACACATAAATTTGGGTTATCCGAGCCCAAAATGCGACAATTTAGCTTATTGATGTAGCCATCGAGGTGTAAATGTGCCTCATCAGCAAAGCTGATTTTTCGTTGCAACTTTTATTGGAAAACCCTTTATCTGCTAATATTGCGTGAGTAAAAATTAATATATGAAATTTAAATACATTTATCTGTATATATTCATGTACTTACTGTATATAAACTGGAGCTCCAGATACCCTGGTGAGCAGCTCGATACTCACTCGTTACTTCTTTGTTGCTCAACTGTTTAAATGTTTGTTAAAAATTTTTTAGAATTTCAACTCAATAAATAAATAAATTTAAAATTTATAGTTATAGCAGAAAAAATTTGAGAAAAAATTCAAAAATTTTGTGCAAAATACCCGAAAAGTGCTTCAAAATTTTCGAGTAATAAACAAATGTGCAAGTAGTCGTTGCTGAAATTCTCGAGCTACTCAAAAATATTCGAACAAAAACTTCAACTCTAATAAATACAAACATATTTTCATTACTTTTTATTATTATCTCACTTCATTCTACCATGTTAGCATGTCAATTATACATAAAAATATCAGCTTGATACTAGTTAAATACTAGTTCATTTTTGTAAGATGAATTTCTATTTCAAAGAAGTAAAAAGGGAAGATTTGTATGATTCTTGCATTTCTTGTCTGTCATTTATCACTCGGCTATCGGAAGCTCCAAATAGCATAGTAAAATATAAAACTCACCACATACCGACGGCGTGGTGAGGAAGTTGTTAGACTTTCCTTCACTGATGATTTACAAACAAATAGCGAACTTTTTTGATTTGATATTTGAAATACTGAACTAGAATTTTCACTCGTGGTTTAGTGTTGCGCTGCATGGTTTATATATTGTACAACGTTTGCATACAAGACTCTCATGTTCACCTTCACCAAAATGCATTTCTGTAGGTATCCGCTATGCTTTTAATACCGCACAGTGTTTAAGATTGAAATGTTTAATTTAAAAAATAAAAAACCAAAGTAGAAGACAAAGTTTTTTCCTGTCTAATCTTTTCTAATATAGATAATAGTTTTGAGCAAGATTATCGGGAATGAAGGCGGCGATACGCTTGAATAGAATATATATAATTGGCGGTAACCACTGAAGCGATATTCGTCCGAGCTCCCTTTTTCGATTCGAGGAAATGCAGAGACCTACAGTTTATTTTAAACCACATTTTATAAGGAGCTTATGGATTTTTAAAAAGAGCTTTTTATTTTATATTCGAAATATACTCGAAGGGCTCTACATTCTCCATCGAGGGGCGACCACAATTAGAAACATTAGAATAGTTTTCTGTAATTTTAATTTGAATGGGCTGCTCCGAGTTGTATTACGCACTACTAACCATTCGGCTATTGCGGACGTATGAGTCCAAAATCCCTACTTTTCACAACCGTGTGTTCCCATGAAAGTCTGTTAATTGCCTCCTCAAATATTTTTAAAAAAATTTTGTTCAACAAATTTAACTGCTTTCTCGTGTCAGAATTGACTGATTTCGAGCTGCTCCGAAAAAAGCTCACCACTATTCGTGAAAGCTCAGTACATAATTGAATGGAACGTAGATCTGTGTGGTGTTCAAGAGCCATTAGTACCTGTCCTTAACAATCGCTGGCAGTGTTTCTGCTTTTTGAATTCTTTTTATTCTCGACTACCAATATTTGTTAAATGAGCTTTCACACAATTTAATGCTTTGGCTCTACATACTGTGCACACTGTGCAGATATTCCGATGTATCACATTGTTGGATTTCATCATACCGACTTTTACAAGAATATATGACGCTCACCAAAAAAATATACATAGATAGAGCGGCAAATTTCCCAGTGTTAATAAGAATTTTCCCATGCGCATGCGACCGGAAGAGCCTTGAAATGCAATTAAAGGCTGAAGGCTCGCAAGAGAATGCGAGAGTAGAGCGAAAGCTACACATGCCGAGTGATATGGGAGAGCATTTGAATACGCTTGCATGAAAATATGTAATAACACCGTATATATGTATGTATGTTATGCATGTGAGCATTCCAATTTGTTAATAAAGAAAAAAAAAAATAATAAAATGAAATATGCTATTTTTACTCACGTACAAAACAGTATGGGTTGCATTACAGTTCTCACAAAAAAAAAAACATCAAATAATTGAAGAAGAAAATTTGTGGGAGCACACATTGTTGTGCACCACTCAGCCGGAAAATAAAGAAAAATGTTTGTTGGTGACCTAACAGAAGGACAGCCGGATATATGTTATGAAGACAGATATAAAGAGGAACACACACACACATACACATGCTTATATATACTCATAAAAAGCGCGAGAGAGTGATAGAGAGTGAAAAGGAGATAGAGAGAGAGAGAGAGAGAGCGACAAATAAAAGCGAGGCTAAAACGTTTATATATACATATAAGTATTTTCATTTGGCTAAGATACCAGGCGGCCGGGTCTTATCGGTCTGCAGCAATCAAGTTGCTTGCTACTTTTTTTTGTTTTTTTTTTTGCCATTTAATGTGACGTACACTGCGTCAGAGTTGCGCGCCGCTGCTTTTGCTTGCTGTAATTGAGTGGAACATCAGCTAAGCATGCAAGCGGCAACAGCTGTTTTTTGGTGGCGTGCCCACTAATCAATGGTAAATATTTCGCAGCAAACAGCAAGAGGTGCCGAAAGCTGCATGAGGTGCGTTAGTGTGTCAGTATAGGAGAAAGTACATACTGACTACATACATAAGTGCACACTAGATAAGGCGTATACATAAATACATACATATATATATATGTATGTATAAAATTTGTTGTATATTTTTAGATATCTATGTATTTGCTTATGTACTATATGCATTTTTTAATGCTTATGTGCGAGTATATATAGGTGAGTTTGCCGCTGTTTAGTGCCGGTACTGATGATGTGGCCTTGTTTCGTGTCATAAAATAAACTCAAAAGCCGAATCGGCATTTTTACCATAATCTGTATGTTCGTACGCTTGATATATTTGTAATATTTTATGTCTAAATTTTTTATTAAATTTTTATTCCTTTTTTCAATGGTTTTCGCCTTAAATTCAGCACATTTGAGATGCAACGCTTTATTACTATCAATTCAGCGAATGCTACTCAAAACGCTTTTCAGAGTTACCAATCAATCGGAGTGGAAAAAATTGTTTTTCGCATTGTATTTCGGTAACCCTGTCTAAGCAGCATCCAGTGTTTCCGAGCTCCTTGCGAAAATCATCCATTATTTTTGCATTAACTAAAGGCTTTATTTACCACAATTAGAACTAATCGATTTATATAAAAAAAACTCAGCGTTTTGCTCGATAACTTTTTGCCAATTTGAAGATAAATTCATTACATCTCTCTCATAGCAACTCTTGCCGTTTTTGGGCGTAAATTGGGACAATCGATTTACACAGCCTGATCAAGTGCCCGTGAAAGGAACAGTTGGTTCGAAGTCCGGTCTGTAAAGAGAATACATAAGAATCTACTAAACAAGCTCTCAGAGCTACCGGCGAGTCACTATCGAGGTGTGTGGTCTGACATTGTTCAGATGAAACAAAATTC